TCCCCCGTCAGGGGCCTCTTAGCTGCCTCTCCGGCTGTTTGTGTACGGTCAGTGCTCCACGCCCGCACATCCTCGGCCCCTCTAGCTGCAGTGATGGCCCTCTAGCTGCAGTGATGGTCCTGTCTACCCGGGCGTGGCCCTGGACAGCTGCCCTTCTGCAGGCCCCTCACCAACTCTCCTTCTCTCTCTCTCTGCTCCAGGCCTGGGTCCCAACATGTCCTCAACCCCCGCACATGAGGTGGGCAGGAGAACCTCAGTTCTGTTCTCCAAAAAGAACCCGAAGACAGCTGGACCGCCCAAGAGGCCGGGCCGGCCCCCCAAAAACCGGGAGAGCCAGATGACCCCCAGCCACGGAGGCAGCCCTGTGGGGCCCCCCCAGCTCCCCATCATGGGCTCCCTGCGTCAGCGCAAGCGGGGTAGGAGCCCCCGGCCCAGTTCGAGCTCAGACAGCGACAGTGATAAGTCCACAGAAGACCCCCCAATGGGTGAGCCTCACCATCACCCAGCCCCCCAGAGAGTGAGCAGCACGGCCATTGCTCCCCCCGTAGCCTCAGCCACGAGAGAGCGAGCCGGAAGGGCACGCTAGGCTTCCTTTCCGCCACCCCTCATCCTAGAGTGGGGACTGAGACCCGGAGACCCTGACCGGCCAGGTTCCCATCCGTCACTTCACCTTCTCTCTTCTCAACTTCCTTGGGGATTCCTACCGTTGAGGTCACCTGTGTCCTGAGAGCAGTGACTGCCGAGGGAGGAAGGGGCGGGGCGGGGCTCCAGCCAGCGGTGGTGGACCTGCCGTAGCTAGCTCTGCTGGCCAAGCACAGACAGGGAACCCAAGCTCTGAGTCCCTCTCAGCCCCATGCTACCTCTGATCTACGTCTTCCTTCCTTCCCCTCCCCCCAACCAAGACTTGCCGGCCAACGGCTTCAGTGGTGGGAACCAGCCCGTCAAGAAGAGCTTCCTGGTCTACCGGAACGACTGCAGCCTTCCCCGGAGCAGCTCGGACTCCGAGTCCAGCAGCAGCAGCAGCAGCAGCGCTGCCTCGGACCGGACCAGGTATCTGCCCTCCAGGTCCGGGCTCGCCTCTGGGCTTCCCAGCTGGGAGTGGGGTCACAGCCGACTCGGCCTAGAGCAAGATGGCTCAGACCCACGTTCTCTGCGAGTCAGCGGGCCAGATGAGAGGGTCGGAAGCAGGAGGCAGCATCCTGGGTTAAACCGATGCTTTGACGGCAGCAGTGCCCCTGGCCCGGGTCTGGTCTGCACACCTGTTTTGGCATTTCTAATAAAAACGAATCCAGAGATGCCACATCAGCCTCCAGCCGCTGTGCTCCCTTTTCAGAATCATTGGTTCTCGCAGGTGTTTCCTTCGAGAGAGGGTGTGTGCTGCCCCTCACCACTGGGCAGTACGGCCCCGCCCCTGAGGGCACCAGCCTGGCCCGGGGGTGTTGGAGCCTGGAGTTCTTCCTAAAACCTCTGCTTTCCTAAAGGGGCAGACCCCGGGGACTTGAGGCCCGGACACCTACCGTGCCATTCCCCGTTCTCGTCCGCAGCACAACACCCTCAAAGCAAGGCCGGGGCAAGCCCTCCTTCTCTCGGGGCACGTTCCCAGAAGACAGCAGCGAAGACACCTCAGGCACCGAGAACGAGGCCTACTCCGTGGGCACTGGCCGCGGCGTGGGCCACAGCAGTAAGTACCCCCGCCCGCAGCCAGGGGTGCTGGGGACCCGACGGCCCGGCCTCGTCAGCCCCCCGCCTGCTGATGCACCTCCTCTCTCCCGTGAAGTGGTCAGGAAGAGTCTGGGCCGGAGCGCTGGCTGGCTGTCTGAGGATGAAGACTCCCCTCTGGACGCCCTGGACCTGGTGTGGGCCAAATGCCGGGGGTATCCGTCGTACCCAGCTCTGGTAGGCTTCCAGTCCTAGGACGCAGTCCGTCCTGCTCCCTCGGCCACCAGCCTGCAGGCACGTGCTGCGTATCGGCTGTTCAGAGGCTCCCTGTCGGCCCCTCGGTCTCCCTTTCCTTTCTCTGCCCCTTGGGCTCTGCAGTAGTCAGCGTGGGCAGAAGCCAAGGGTCAGCCTGCAGCCCTGGTCGCGTGCAACCTTTCTCTGTCCCCACTTCCCGTGTCCTGTGGGGCGGCAGACTGGACCCACCGGCTCTTCTTGCCCCCTCAGATCATTGACCCAAAGATGCCGCGAGAAGGTGTGTTGCACCGTGGGGTCCCCATTCCTGTGCCCCCACTGGAGGTGCTGAAACTGGGGGAGCAGATGACCCAGGAAGCCCGAGAGCATCTCTACCTCGTCCTCTTCTTTGACAACAAACGAACCTGGTAAGGAAGGAAGGGAGCAGGTGGTGTGCACACGGCACAGATGCAGCCCTGTGCGGCGGGGGCGGGCCGCCAGGACGCCCGGACACTGGCTCTCACGTGGCAGCGGGAGCGGGATCCAGAACAGGTCTCTGAGCAAGAGGGGCGTGTTGACCTGAGGCTGGGAGGCTGAGTGGGCAGCAGCTGGAAACCACAGGACCATCCGCAACAGTGACGCCCACGGGCCCCCCCCCCCCAGACCCAGACCCAGACCCAGACCCAGACCCAGACCCAGACCCAGACCCAGCAGACCCAGACCCAGACCCAGACCCAGACCCAGACCCAGACCCAGACCAGACCCAGACCAGACCCAGACCCCAGACCCAGACCCAGACCCAGACCCAGACCCAGACCCAGACCCAGACCCAGACCCAGACCCCAGACCCAGACCCAGACCCAGACCCAGCAGACCCACACCCAGACCCAGACCCAGACCCGGACCCGGACCCGGACCCGGACCCGGACCCGGACCCGGACCCAGACCCAGACGCAGACTTGGCCTCCCGCCTCGGCCTCCATAGGGAGACTTCAGGCTCCGGTCCTGCCATTCGTACACATGCAGTTTTGTTCACGGTCAGCGTCAGGAAGCCGTGCCTGGGCCCGGGGGCCGGGGTCCTCCTGCTCGTGCGCCTGGTAGCCGGTGCTTACCCCCGACCGTGGGCTCTTGCCCCTTGAGGGAGGACTGTCTGCTGGGGTCCGGGACCCCAGGACCACCAGGGTGGCCGGAGCGTTAATCCGTGGTGGCGTGAGGAGGGCAGGCTCTGGCTGTCTGCGAGGATTTATGTGACGTGCGCTCTGTCCCATAGGCAGTGGCTGCCCAGGACCAAGCTGGTGCCTCTGGGTGTGAACCAGGACCTGGACAAGGAGAAGATGCTGGAGGGCCGCAAGTCCAACATCCGCAAGTCGGTGCAGATTGCCTACCACCGGGCTCTGCAGCACCGCAGCAAGGTGCAGGGCGAGCAGAGCAGCGAGACCAGCGACAGCGACTGACGCGGCCCCCCCCCTGCCCGCAGTCCTGGAGGCGCCGGCCTCTGCACTGACTCATTCCTGGTCTTGGGGCCAGTCTCAGGGGAAGCTGGGTAGGGGAGGTCCCTCCTGCCCCGAGTGCAGCTGGACTGTACAGAACACTCCAAGGGCCCAGGGCGGCTCAGCGCCAGCAGAGGGGAGTTCCCACAGGCCAGAGCCCCAGAGACCTCACGGCACTGGAGGGCAGGGTGGTGGGCCGAGGTTAGGACACTGCGTAAGACAGGCCACCCACCACCTCTGCCCGCTCGTGCCCGGAGAATCCGAAACTGCCCAGAGGCCTGAGGCCCCCGCAGGTGTGAGGCGAGTGGGCATCTGCCCAGCCTAGCAGTGGGACTGATGTCTGTCCAGCCCGGAAGAGGGGCACTAGGTGACCCCCTCCCCTGCTGCTGTAAATACTGTAATTATCGGAGAATTTAAATTATTCTCATTTGTAACTGCGTTTCCGGGTCGCGCCAGAGTCATTTGGTACTAAAAACGCCTGGGGCCTGTCCCCGCTCCCCTCTTTCCCATAGATTTCTCCCCTCCTTTCAAACTAGTTTGTATTTATTTCAAAGGAAGAAAATATATTGATTCTTAGAAAATATCGGTTTAGGATGCTTTGTTCTTCCTGCCTGGGCCAGGGAAGAGGGGTTCCCAGGGGAGGTTCTGGCCCGCGAACGGGACCGGTGCGGGCCAGGAGCAGGGAAGACCTGAGCCCCGAGGGGCAGGCCCTGTGCTCGGCGCCCCGCAGACACCGCGGGTGGGTGAAGCCGTGCTGCGGGTGTCAGGCTCCAAGTCCTTGGCCGGCAGTGGCCAGGCGCCTCCGTGTCCCGCCTGCGGCGCGGGACGGGCAGGGGTGTGGCGGTCGGCTCTCCATCCCCCCGCCCCGCCGTCGGCGTTGTCTGCGGTGAAGCGGGGGAGCCTCGGGGCGGGGGGACGCGAGGATGACGCTGCGGCCGAGTCGGCTAGACCCCGGTCGCCGGCAGGACGCGGGGATGCCCGGGGGGCCCAGAGCAGCCGCGTGCGGGCCGCTTCCCGGCGGGGAGGGGTCGGGGGCGGCCCGAGGGAGCCCGGCGCGCGCCCGCCGCCGCCACGCCCGACGGCCATTGGCGCGTCTCACGGTCGCCTCGGATTGGCTATTTTGGGTCAAATAAGCGGTTCCCGGGCCGCGCTTCCGCCGACAGCGAAAGGGCCGCTGGGGAAGCCGGAAGGGCGCGCAGGCGCGCGCTCCCCAACGCCTCGGACGTTCGGAGGGCGGCGGTGCGCGCCCGGAGGCCTGGGGGCGGGGCCTGGGCCAGAGGGCGGGGAGTGCGCGTCATGGGGGCGGGGCCTGAGCCGGAGGGCGGGGAGTGCACTCCTGGGGCGGGGCCTGAGCTGGAGGGTGGGGAGCGCGCGTCATGGGGGCGGGGACTGAGCCGGAGGGCGGGGAGCGCGCCCGGAGGCCTGGGGGCGGGGCCTGGGCCAGAGGGCGGGGAGTGTGCGTCATGGGGGCGGGGCCTGAGCCGGAGGGCGGGGAGTGCACTCCTGGGGCGGGGCCTGAGCCGGAGGGCGGGGTGTGCGCGTCATGGGGGCGGGGACTGAGCCGGAGGGCGGGGAGTGCACTCCTGGGGCGGGGCCTGGGCCAGAGGGCGGGGAGTGCGCGTCATGAGGCGGGGTCTGAGCCGGAGGGGCGGGGCCTGGTGTGGAGATGGCCGCTGTCTGTGCGGGTTAGCATGCGGCACCTTACTCTAGCCTCCGACCCGGCCCTGTGGGCCTCCATGCCGTGTCCACGCTCTGAGCTGCGCCTGGACCTGGTCCTGGCGTCTGGACAGTCCTTCCGGTGAGTAGCTGCAGCTGGGAGGCCCACCCCGGGACCCCCGCCCCCACCCCCGCGCAGTGCAGGGTGCACAGGTGAGCCTGCGGTGCCGCGAGCCTCAGCAGGAGAGCCGCACTCTCTGCGCTTAAAATCAGCTTTGAACCTGCAGCGGCGGCAGGAGGCGGGGCAGGCGGGGCTCCCGAGTGCTAGGGCCGTGCTGCCCTTGGGAGCCCACAGGTGGAGAGAGCAAAGCCCCGCACACTGGAGTGGCGTGCTGGCCGGCCGCGTGTGGACCCTGACGCAGACGGAGGAGCGCCTCTGCTGCACTGTGTACCGAGGGCCCCAGGGCCGGGCGGCCAGGCCCACGCCGCGGGAGCTGGACGCCGTGCGCGCCTACTTCCAGCTGGACGTCAGCCTGGCGCAGCTGTACAGCCGCTGGAGTTCCGTGGACTCCCACTTCCGAGAGGTGGCCCAGAGATTCCAGGGTGGGTACGAGGGCCTGGGGCTCTGGGCGCGGGTCTTGCGTACTGACTCGGTTACTGCCTTGGGACTCACTTTGGCAGTCTGCGAAATGGAGTTCACGCCTGCATCATGGGATTCCATGAGCAAGTGAGGAGCCGACACACGTGCAGCAGTTGAGAGAGAGCACAGCGCATCGTTATCCTGCCGACCGTCCCGGGGGCGGGCGGATGCTGTCGACCCTGGTGTGGGGCTGGTGTTGTGGGGCCGTGCGTTACAACATCCCCTGTGGGCACCCGCTGGAGCCCCAGCTGCTCCACTCCCCACCCAGCTCCCAGCTCACGTGCTTGGGCAACCAGCAGACGAGGCTGCAGTTACTGGGCCCCTGCCGCCCCCGTGGGAGACCCGGGTGGAGTTCTTGGCTTTGGCCTAGCCTACTCACCATCACTGCAGCCATCTGGGAAGTGATGGAAGATCTCTCTCTCTGTCTCTCCCTCGCTCTCTAACTCTGCCTTTCAAATAAAGAGCATAAATCTGAACAAAAAAGTCCTAGTGGTGTGAGCTGGGGCAGGTGACTTCCCTCACTCTGTTAATATCCGCAGCGCACCTGCTGTGTGGGGCACAGCCGCAGGCGCAGCAGGTGCAGATCCTGCCCCGTGGTGCCTAGGTCGTGGGTAAACCTGGCGTGAGAGGTCCGGTGTTGCTTTCTCTAACAGTGCTGTTCTTCAGGCCCCTGGGATCCCCTGGGGCCCTGGGGCCCAAGACCTGATGTGAGGGTGGGAGGGGCTGCAGCCGGCAGCAGGTACTTCCCCCGCACCCTGCCTCTGCTCCCAGGCGTGCGGCTGCTGCGACAGGACCCCGTCGAATGCCTGTTCTCCTTCATCTGCTCCTCCAACAACAACATCACACGCATCGCTGGCATGGTGGAGCGGCTGTGCCAGGCCTTCGGGCCCCAGCTCACCCGGCTTGACGACGTCACCTACCATGGCTTCCCCAGCCTGCAAGCTCTGGCCGGTAAGGAGGTGCTCCCCGCCCCTGGCCCTCCGTCAGTTCCCTCGCCCCTGGTCATCACCTACCCCAAAGCTGCCCCCATCCAGAACCACCCGGCCTGGCCCGCCCCAGTCACACACCCCATCCGTACCCATCCCGGAAGTGCCGGCGCCTCACTTGTGTGCTGCGGTGCACGGGAGTTTGGGGTTAGGAGCGTGTGCTCCGGAGACAGACTGGGCCTCAGTACTAACTCTTGCTGGGCACAATACTTAGCACCTTTGTGCTTGAGTTGCTTCGCTAATGACTTGGGATAACAGTAGCACCGAGGCCTATCCGTTGTCATGGGGGCAGAATAAGGGAGCACAAATACCACGCCTTGCAGTGCTCAGCACACGGGAAGCGTGCAGAAGCCCCACCCCCCTCTCGTCCTCTCGCCACGTGCGTTCCCCACAGCAGCCCGGGGAGGCAGGTGGAGCGGCGGCCGTGCGGCGAGGTGCTGTCGGGGCTTGAGCCTCAGCTCCTGGCTTAGACCTCAGAGAATGTGTTCACGTCTCAGAGCTGCTCTCATTTATAGAATGGGAACAGCAGTGTCTACCTAACGGGCTGGGGATGAATCAAGTTGTCGTGGGGCTGCGAGGTGTCACGGCTGAGAGCACAGCCCTCGGCGTCCAGACCTGCGGCAGGTCCATCCTTTTTTTTTTTTTTTTAAGATTTATTTATTTGAGAGGCAGAGTTACAAAAAGTAGAGGCAGAAGCAGAGAGAGAAAGAGGGAGGGAGGGAGGGAGGGAGGGAGGTCTTCCAACTGCTGGTTCACTCCCCAGGTGGCTGCAATGGCCAGAGTTGTGCCAAGCTGAAGCCAGGAGCCCAGGAGCTTCTTCCGGGTCTCCCACGCGGGTGCTGGGGCCCAAGCACTTGGGCCATCTTCTACTGCTTTCCCAAGCCATAGCAGAGAGCTGGATCAGAAGTGGAGCAGCCGGGATATGAACCGGCGCCCATATGGGATGCTGGCACTGCAGGCAGTGGCTTTACCCGCTATGCCACAGCACTGGCACTGCAGGTTCTTTCGAGAGCAGGTTCCTTCGCCTCTCTTGAGCCCTCTTCTCCCCCATCAGCAGCCAGGCACAGAAGCCGGCCCTGCTGTTACTGTGCTGTTTTTCAGATCACGGGTGGGAAAGCTGCTTGGAAAGGGCGAGGAACTCGAGTGGGCAGCCCCTCCAGGACAGCATCCTCAGTCCCCGTCCAGTGCCCGGCAGGGAGGAGGCACTGGGGTCGCCTGGCAGGACCCGAGCTTTAGCCTGTGCTGTGCACCTGCGAGTGTCTGCTGTCTCCGAGAGGCAGCGAGGTGGAGGGGAAGTTACGCAGAGCATTCCTGTGGGTAGCGGGCACACACACCAGGCTGAGCCCTGCTCTCCTGCCCACTGCCTGCAGGGCCGGAGGTCGAGGCTCGCCTCAGGAAGCTGGGCCTGGGGTACCGGGCCCGCTACGTGAGTGCCAGCGCCCGAGCCATCCTGGAAGAGCAGGGCGGGCTGGCCTGGCTGCAGCGACTGCGGGAGGTCCCCTATGAGGAAGCCCACAAGGCCCTCTGTGCCCTGCCCGGGGTGGGCACCAAGGTGAGGCTCGGGAGCTGGGAGCTGGGGGAGGCTGGGCTTCTGGGGGCAGAACAGGAGGAGAAAGGATGTAAGCAGATGTTGTATTAGGAAAAATCCTGCAGAAAAAAGTATAAAGGACCTTGCTTTGAACGGATTTCTAGAAAGTCCACTTGCTCAAGTGCTTCTGTATGCTGCTATACTCATATATGTGCAGAAATTTCCAGAAGGAATTGCAAGAAAACTAATAGTGTTTGGGAAAATATTTCCACTTTTCATTTTGTTCTTTTTTTTTTTTTTTAAGATTTACTTATTATTTATTTGAAATACAACGTTATAGAGAGGCCGAGGTAGAAAGAGAGGTCTTCGATCTGCTTGTTCGTTCCCAAGATGGCTGCAGTGGCCAGAGCTGAGCTGATCCAAAGCCAGGAGCCAGGAGCTGCTTCCAGGTCTCCCATATGAGTGCAGGGGCCCAAGGACTTGGGCCATCTTCTACTGCTTTCCCAGGCCACAGCAGAGCTGGATCAGAAGTGGAGCAGCCGGGACCCGAACCGGTGCCCATATGGGATGCTGGCACTACAGGCGGAGGCTTTACCCGCTGTGCCACAGCGCCAGCCCTGTCTTTTGTTTTGTTTTGTTTTAAAGATTTATGTATTTATTTGAAAGACAAAGTTACAGAGAGGCAGAGACAGAGAGAAAGAGGTCTTCCAACCACTGGTTCACTCTCCAAATGGCTGCAATGGCTGGAGCTGGGCTGATCTGATGTCAGGAGCCAGGAGCTTCTTCTGGGTCTCCCATGTGGGAGCAGGGTCCCAAAAACTTGGGCCATCTTCTACTGCTTTCCCAGGCCATAGCAGAGAACTGGATCAGGAGTGGAGCAGCCGGGATTTGAACCAGCGCCCACATGGGATGCCAGCACTACAGGCAATGGCTTTACCTGCTACACCACAGCGCTGGCCCTGGTTGCTTGTATG